GGACACAACCCCCGCCGCCACCACCGCCACCACCACACCGCCGCCAGACCAGAGCGCCTCAGCTTGCCTGCCAACTGAGAGGTGACGGGCAGCTGCTGGCCGCCGGCGGCACGCGCTGTGCCCGCTGCCACCAGGTCAGAGGCGGTCAGGCGCTGCGGCACGATGGCGGCCAGCACCAGCTGCCGCAGAAAGGTTGGGTCCTGCGCACGGCAGGGCGCGCATGGCGCGGCAGCGGAGGGTCGCGGCCTGGCAGCACAGCGAGAACAGGGGGGCGGCGAGCGATGGCCGTGTGCCGGCAGCCGGCAGCCGGCAGCACAGCGGCACGTGTCGCTGTCGGCGTGCCACGGCAGTGAAGCAGCAGCAGGTGTGTAAGGCCAGCAGGCAGACAGACTCACTGGCAGCCAAGGCTATCCCACCTGAAGCTGCTGGCGGCTGACCCTGCCTGAGTACACAGCTGTGTTGAAGGCCTGGTTGGATGGTGCAAAGACTGCAGGCAGGCAGGCAGGTGCGGCGGGGAGGCGCAGCATGAAGGCCAAACGTGGCTGGGGAGCCCAGCGGGCACGCATGCACGCCGACAGCCAGATCAGCAGCTGTTGTACGTGTACGTGTGTCCAGCCCCTGGGTTGAACTCAGGAGGAGAACACACAAGGCGTGATGTGCAGCTGCGGCCCAGAGGTGCAGAGTCTTGCTGGCGCTGCCTGCGCATGCCCCGCTGCTGTTGCCGCGGCGGCTGGCCCCCGCAGCAGCACAGACAACGGGGTGAGGGGCGGGCGGCGGCCTCACTCGTCACTTGCTGGCCTGGGACGGAGGACAGGTTGGCCTGGCGCAGGGCGCTGGCAAAGCTGACAAGCTGCGAGGCAGAAAGGGGCAGGCATAGGCACGCTATTGGCGGTGCAAGTGACAGGGTGGTGGCGAATTCTGGCGGCGTGTCGGTGAGGTGCGGCGCGGTGCAGAATGGGTGGAGCCGCCTGCCGCTGCTCTGGCTGCGGCTTCCCCATGCCATGCCTGCTCCACGCAGCGCGCTCCACAGGAATGGCAGCGTCCAGCAGGCCGCCGATGCAGCTGGCTAGTGAGCTGCAAGCAGAGCTGCAAACAGAGCTGCAGCCTGCGGCCTCGAGGCCCGCCCCAACCTGCGGGGTGCCCACAATCAGGCGGGAGACGGTGGGCAGGTAGGGCGCGGCCTCCTGGGCGGAGCACACCCTGGTGGCGGCGCCGGAGAATTTGGTGGATGGAGCCAGCGGGGCGCCTCCCGCTGGCGTGCATCGCGGGGGGTCCTGCAGGCGGGGCACGCGAGTCGGGCAAAGCGGCAAAGGTGGCGGCGCAGGTGGGACCTTGCAGCGTTGGGTGGTGCGAGCCCTGGCAAAAGAGGGCCAGTTCCTGCCAAAGCATCCGCGCATCGCTGGCACTGCTGAGCGAGCAGAGGTCCCGCGGCGCACCGCCACGAAGCAGGTGAAGGCGGCGGAGCCGCTGACGATGTCCCACTGGCCGCAGCCGACACGGGTGGTGTTGACGCCGCCGCTGAGCCCGGTGGCGGTGCAGGCGCAGGGGTCCACAGCGCGGCCGGCCGGTGCGGGTGCCTCGGCGGTGGGCTCCGAGTCCGGGGCGGGTGCTGCGGGAGCCTCGGGCGCGGGTGCAGGCAGGGCGGGCGGGAAAGGGGTGGCGACGACCTCGGACAGCGGAGGGGGAGCCGCAGCGGTGGCGGCCGCGGGCCCCGCTGGGCTGCCATTGGCGGCAGTGGGCGCGGCCAGGAAGGGGTTGGGCTGCTCCTGGGCCAAGACCCGGCCCTGGGCACTCGCTGGAAGCAGCAGGCAGGCGGCTGCAAGCGCCAGAGCGAGTGCCATGGCCTGGGAGGGGTGCCTGGAGCGAGCCATGGCTGCAATGGGCTCCGAGGTTGCTTGGACTGCTCCCACACGCTTGGCCAGCTACCTCCCCTTTCCACCCCAGCTGTCTTGACTTTCCACCACTCATGAACCGTCCACAACAGGTTTGGAGCAAAATGGCACAACGGCAGTGTGTAGACCTGTCCTAGCAACCCTTAAAATTGGAGCAGCGCAGTTAAGGGTGGCGCTGCCTGATAGCAGGGTCGGAGGCAGAGCTGCACTTGCAGCCGCAGCTGCGCAGCAAGCTTGCAAGCTGCCGCATCGAGCACCAGGGCACCGCAGAGCGCCATGCACCAGCTGCCCCAGATTCCATACCCTGAGATCAGGAAGAGAGGCTGTTCAACCGGTTTGTGGCATCGCCATGCCAGCAGCCGCCGCCCCCGCCGCACGCCACCACCGTAGCATGCCCGTGTCCCAGCCGCCTATTGTGAAAGCTAGAGTGTCTGGCCCCACCAACCCAAATCTCAGGCGCCTGCTGCTATTACACATGCAGGCCAGGGCTGAGCTGCTGCGCGCTGGGCCGGCACAGGCCGCCACAGGCACGGAGGGGTAGAAGCTCCGGCGGCGCAGCTCGCCGCCGCCGAGAGCAAGGGGAAGCGAAAGGAAGGGATGGGGCCTAGGAACACAAACACAAGGGGGGAAAGGAAGGGGGGCGCAGGGCTGCGCGCACGCAGGCATGACGCGTGCGCGCGGAAACTGAGAAGGGGGCACTGCGGTGGCGGAGGGTGCTGCTGGTGGGAAGTTCCGCGGCGCGACTGGCGCGGCGCGGCGCGCGAGGCGGGGCTGCCTCCTCGTCGAGGCACGCTTCGCGCGGGCGGAGCGCCTATGCCGGCCTGGCCGAGCGGCAGCTGGGCCGGGCGGGGGCGGCGGCTGCTCATGCGCGGCCTGCCCTCATGGGGTGTGGCGGCCCTCATGCGGAGATGGAAGTGATCAGGATCTTGGACAGCGGCTGGCGGTGTCCGTTCAGGCGGCGAAAATGTTTCTTGGCCTTCATGCGAAACACGATGACCTGCAGGGTACGGGGAAGCGTGGGGGTGGTTATGGCAAAACAATTAGCGAGAAAGGCAAAAAAAACCTTGTATTGTCGCGTTTTGCGTCTCAGAAGACCGATTTGGGTGCCTGTGGCAAGGCTTGGCCGTCAAAAGCAGCGGCAGCAGTCGGCGGGCGGCGGCAGTGCGGCGGCGGCGACGCGCCTAGGGTCAGCAGGCGGGCAGATGCGGCGCGGGACCACACCCCAGCCCTGCCGCCCACCGGCCGCACCAATAAACAACCACTCTGAAGCGCAGGGCTAGCCAAATACAGGTTCTCCGCCCTTGCTGCCTCCCTAATGCACCGCGTCCCCCAACCGCAACTTGCATAATCAACAACCCCCGTATCCCCTGCATCCCATCCAATCCGTGTGCCCTCCCCCCACCCACCTTGGGCCCCTTGAGCTCCTCCAGCACCTCAGCCTCCACCTTCACACCCTCCACATACGGCTGCCCCACCGCAAACTTGCCGCCCGCCTTGTGCGCCAGCACGCGACCCAGCTGGATCTTGCTGCCCGGCTCGGCCTGCGCGCACGGGGCGACGGGGAGAGGGGCGGGGAGGGGCGGGCGCGCGCATGAGAGCAGGCGGGGATGGGGTGCGGGGCATGGGGCCCCGGCGGGCAGGCGCAGCAGGCAGTGGTGGGATGCCGGGGTCGCCTGGCGGCTGCTGAGTCCGGCCAGAGCGCGCAGCCCAGGCTGCTTCTGCTGGTGCCGCACGCCGCTGCCCTGCGCACAGCCGCCACACGCTGCTTCTCTTGGCTGCACTTCAATCGCTTGCTAGCCGGCTGCCATGCGGAGCGCCTGGCTGGGTGCCCGGGCCTGAGGCCCGAGGTTTGCAGCCGCTCCGTCGGCTGTGCTGCCAACCAGGCCGGCCAACTGCTTTGCCCAGCCAGCCAGCCCGCCGGCCACCTCCCAGGGCTGCTGAAAGGTGCAGCCGCAGCAGCGCAAAAGAAGCAGCAGCCGAAAACATCGCAGCACGCGGGCAGAGGCGCGGCGGCGCACCTCCAGCCGGTTGACTGTGTACCACCGCCCCTCCTCCACAATCAGCTGGTGCCCGCCAATCTCCACCACTGCGTACGAGTCCACCTCGCCGCTGTAGCTGGGCTCCGGCTTGCTGGCTGCTGCGGGCGACTCGGGGGCTGCAGGGGTTGGGCGGCGCAGCGGCTGTTGGTAGGGCAAGCAGCGGCGGCGGCGGCCCGGCCAGCGCCGAGGTTTTCAGGCGGCCACCCGGCCGCCCTAGGCCGCGGCCATGCGGTTTTTCGGACGACATCAGGCGGTTTGAGCGGGCGCAGGGGGCGCGCGGCTGGTGCCCCTGCCCCTGCCCCGGCACTTGCATGGCGCCCACACGCATTGCCGCCCCTCACCTGCCACTGCGTTAACCTGCAGTTGCCTGCGGCTAATGCTGCTGCTGCTGCTGCTGGCTGCACGGAGCTGCTGCGCGGGGCGGGGTGCCGCGATGCGGGCCGCGAGCGGCCGGCTGCTCAGGGTACAGAGGGCCTGCATGTTGACGAGGGTAAAACCAGCAGCAGCCGGGCGCAGCTGTGGCTCGTGCATACATGAGCGACACTCCCCCCGGGTCCACATGCCGCGGCCCTTTGCATTGCCAGCCCTCCCGCGGGGAGCCGGCGTTGGTGTCGGCGGCCCATCCGATCGAAGCCGGGGCTTCATCGCCGGCCTCCCCAGCCCCCGCAAGGCCCCCTAGTTCAAGCGGCAGTCGGGTGGGTAGTGGCCCCCAGGCAGCTCTGCAGGCCACCACAGGCGTTCCGATTCATCCAGGGCAATCCACAAACAGCTATGATGCGGGCCACAAGGCCAACAAGCGGTGTCTTTGCAGTCGTGGTTGCGCGCTTTGTTTCTGGGGTTTCAAGTCGCTCTGCCTGTCCTGCGATCCGCCTATCCATCCCCGAACGTCGTGCCCGCCTGCAGGCGATCCTGAGGCGGTTCGCTTGGAAGCACCTGCCAGCCGGCGCCAGCGGGCGCCGCCGCCGCCGCCATGGACCGCCTGCCTGTCTTCCGCGTCAGCTGGGCGCCCAGGCCAATGGACTCCGCCGCGTTCGGCGTGCTTAGCTTCTTCATGGACATCCGTTTCCTCGTGGGGGCAGTCCTGGGGTGGAAGGTGCTGGCCCAGGTGAGCAAGGGCAAGTTGGGGAGGCCCCCTGTGGCTGTTAAGGGCGCACCCTGCATGTTGTGGTGGCCTGGGGAGGCGTGGCAGTCCTTGGAGCAAGGGGCAGGTACATACGTGTGTTAGGACTTCCTGCCTGTGATCCTGCCTGCCTGCCTGCCCCTTTGCAGATGCTCAGCGGCCACGACAGGGCCGCCAGGAGCCGCCGCTGCCTCTCCAAGGCGCGTGGCGGCGCTCGCCCCGCCCGCCCGGCTAGCGCCCCGCTTGTTCGCGCCTGCTCCTGTGGCAGGCCACCCTCTCCTGACCTTTTGCTGCTGCGGGGATGCTTTGGCCTATGCAATGATCATGACTGTGCTGCATGCCTGCCAATTGCCTGCAGAGCAAGGGCTTCAGCGAGGCTGAGCCGGCCACAGAGGAGGAGTGCGCCCGGCTGGCGGCGGAGCTCGCCGACACGCGGCAGCGGCTGGGCGAGGCGCAGGCGGCAGCGCGGCAGGCAGAGCGCCGCCTCCAAGGTCTGTTGCTGAAACGTTGAGCACCACCCGGGTTACAGCCTGCCTGCCTGCCCACGGCGGCTTTGGAGGTGCCTCGTCTGGCCGGGAGGTGCCTCATCTGTCCCGCCCTGCCTCCTCGCCACCCTCGCATGCACGCACACTCTCTGTCCTGCTGCAACGGCCGGTCCAGCCCTTCCCGCTGCTGCGCCCCTACCTTGGCCCCGCCTGTGTCCACCTGCAGAGGCGCAGGAGGGCGGCACGCAGCGGGAGTTCACCGTACTGGCCCTGGAGCCCGAGGGCGGCGGGCAGCTGGAGGAGGAGGTGGCGGCGCTGAGGGAGCAGCTGCGCAGCTCGGTGGCGCGGGTGCGCGGTCGCTGGGCTGGGCTGGGGAGGCTGTTCTGTTCTGTTCGGGCCTGTTTTTGGGCTGGGCTGGCCTGGCCTGGCCTGGCCTGGCCTGGCCTGGCCTGGGCTGCCCGTGTTCTGCTGCGGCGGGCTGCTCCGTGGCGGCACCACGCGTGTGCGTCCGCCTGCATCTGGGCTGGGCCACGGCTGGGCCGCGCCGGCGCCTTTTGCAGAACCTGGGGGCGTGTGCCTTGCCTGTGCACACCTCACACCGCCCTGCCCGCCCGGCAGGCCGCACAGGACACCCTGGCAGCGGCGGCAGAGAACGAGCGCCTGGTGCGGCAGAACGAGGAGGCGCTGCAGCAGCTGCGGGGCCTGGCTGGCGCCATGGAGCAGGCGGCCGCGGCAGCGGCGCAGCGGCAGGCGGAGGCCGCTGACGAGGCGGCCGCGCGGCAGGGCGAGGCGGGCGCCGAGGGCCGGCGGCAGCGCCAGGAGCGGCAGCAGGAGCAGGAGGGCGGCAGCGAGCCCGGCGAGCAGCCGGCCGGCGGCAACGGGGAGCTCCGGCTTCGGGTTGAGCTGGAGGAGGCGAGCCGCAGCTGCCTGCCGCCGTGCGCTGCTCCTGCACCTGCACCTGCCTGCACTGCTCCTGCCCCTGCCACCGGCCCCTGCTCGTGCCCCTGTGCCTGCCTGCAGTGCTCCTGCCCCTGCACCGCTGTCCCCTGCTGGCTGCCCCGCGGGTCCGCTGCCGGCTGATCCCGCCCGGCCCCGCCCGACCCCGCCGCTCCGCCCCGCTCCGCCGCTCCTCTGCAGGCGCGCGCCCAGCTGGCGGCCGCGCTGGCAGAGAACGCGGAGCTGGAGGAGCGGCTCCTGCAGGTGGCCTTTGAGTCGCTGAGCCCCACCTCGCCGCCTGCCGCCGCCCCGGCGGCCTTCTCCCCACCCCGCGGCGGGATGCCGCTGTCGGCGGACGGCGAGTTCCAGCGCATCGCCTCGGCTTCACACTCCCTGCACAGGGTGAGGCGCGGGCTCTTGGGCTGGGCAGCGGCCGCGGCGAGCGGCGCGGCGACGGGGTGCTGGGGCGCCCTGCAGGGCAAAGCGCTTGTGTGTGTGTGTGGGGGGGGGGGAGGGGGGCT